TTCATTTCCGTGCCGGATTTGAATTCGTTTGTAGCCCAGATTTTACTCGCCTAGAGAAAGTGTGCGGCACGATAAGCTCTGTCGCGGCAAGCCACAACAACAAAGGCCCCGTTTTGTGATGCGGATATCCCAGAACGCCACCAAAATGTTGCGGGGCCGCAACGCCGCAACGCCTATTTTATGCACTGGTCTACATTGACCGCTCCAACGGGCGTGCTAATGAAAAGACAACGGTTATGCTGTGGGATCAATAACACCAACACGCATCTGTGTGGGTGTGTGATTTTACGTGAATTGGCATCGACCGCGCTACCCAGCTGACCAATGAACATTCACCAGCCAAGTATCAGTGCGGACAATAAAGCAACACGATCCTTCTACAGGCCATGATATGTGGCCGCTTAGGGGGGGCGTCATGGTGAGGCTAGGCTGTTCTCCGGATTGACGATGGAAACGGTACCACCTAACTAACCGTTCGTCTAAAAGTATCATCTTGGTTCATTTCACGCTGTTGAATGGAATGACGCCACCACGTTGAGCGGCTGCTGCTGGCCTTCCGTTTCTTCACGCGCTCTGTACCTCCCACACGTTACTCGACTAGCTGCCGCGCTACTCGTTCTCATGCACAGAATGACAGCGAAGGCTATATTTGATTTTTGAAACTCGCGACCCCAGGTTTCCCGACACATAATGAAGCTTAATCTAGTTCGACCGTTACAAAAAATACATCCCAGTTTGTTCTTTCTGCCCGACGAATGAATTTTCCTGTTCATTTCATGCTTTTAAATGGAATCTCCCCAGCTGAGACGCATTTCGACCAGGGTATATTTACCCTGTTGTGTCGTTTCCCCCCCTGACAAAATACACAAGTGAATGCAAGGAGGATGATGATGAAAGCACTCCAAAACGAACTCGAGTTCAAGCTCGCAGCCTTGGTAGACATGTGCATCTTCCTTGTGTTGCTACCGTTTCTGTCTTTCATCCGCAGAAAAGCTTAGCCTCCCCCATGCCGCCCCCTCACGGGGTCCCAGGTAGGGACATTTAAAAATGTTTTTAATGTTTAATCACACTGAGACTGAAGTCTTTTCATTGGTCAACCGGTTAGCGTGGTCGACGAAAATTATTAAGACACACAATACTTATGTGAGCTGAGATATCAAACTCAAACCCCTCCCGCACGCAAACGCCGACGTCACCCTCACATGGCAGGTCCCGCGAGTGCAGAGTTGTTCACCAGGTGGCACCCCCATTCCAGCTTGGCGCCCTCGACGGCATACACGGCACCCCCGTCGACACCGCGGTGCCGCGCGACGCTCGCACCCGTGCAGGAGGCGTTCCCCGGCACCTCCTTGTACAGAAATCCCCCGAAGTCGGCCTCGTTGTTCGTGAAAGTTCCTTGCATGATCTGTGCGGATCAATGTTGGCGTGTACCGGGTGTTGATAGTCATAATGGATGGGGGCTCGTTGTTGTCGCGAGACCCGCAAAGCCCCCCTGCCCATGCCCGTCTCTTTAATCCGCCCACTTATCTGTCTGCCAATCTTTCTGTCTCTCCTCTCCCTCCCCTCTCCACCTCTCACGCTAATGTGCCCGTCTGCCGTCTGCCTGCCTGCTTGCCTGTTTGGCGGTCTCTGCCCTCTCTCCTCTCTCCACCTCTCACGTCAACAACTCGTCCGTTTCTACTTTCATCTGTCCACCTGTCGTTCCCCTCTCCATCTCTCACGTCGATGTGTCCGTCTTCCGCTGCGAAGGTACCGCCACCGTTACCAGCAAGGTTAGCGTCGAACACGCCTGCTTCCACTTCCACCGCCGCCCCCTCGCTTACGAACACAACCCTTCCGTCCAACGCCTCGTTACCCTGGAAGAGACCACCTTGACAAGACCGAGACCGAGATTGAGCAGAAAGGATTACGGATACAATTGGAAAACACCTTCATCTAGGCTGGCAGTAAATGTGACCGCGTCCTTCGCGTAAAGAGAATATATACGGCAATACAGCTGCGATATTCGAGGGTGGTGTGACAAGTTCCTTGACGCTTTTGTATCGGAGCCCCTTTTTATACAGGAATAAGAGGGTACCCCACTAGCGGGTAGGCACATACATACCCTGGACCTACGCGGACGTAAGTCAATCGACTGCCTGTGCACATGTGAGTTTAGAAATTTTACCTCCTCAACAAGCCGAATTGTCTCAAAAAGCACCCAGAAGTCCATTCTACGTCGCCATTTGCCAAAAATGTGAGGTTACTTTTCGAGCCAGAGGGTTTCGGTGCAACGCGAATGCTGCCGCCTGGTCTGAACGCTACAAAGTTCGACGTCCCGGACCTATGTCAAAATCAACAACAACTAGAAACAACAACACCGCCGTCATTGACAACAAAGGCAACGACGAGGGCAACGAAATCTACCACTACCACCATCATCATCAACAACAACAACAACAACAACAACTACCTCAACATCGACAGCATCAAGTACGGCAGCGACAACTACGAAAACGTTAACCACCTCCACCACCACCACCACCACCACGAAGAACAGTCTGTCGTACCTGCAATATCGATCTTGTTTTCCTCCGAAGCGAGCACTACGCCTCCCGCTTCCGCCCCATCGTCCCTCGAAAAATGCCCCCCGAGGATGGTCACGTCGCCCCTGGTCCAGATCACGCCGCCACCCTNAGGGCAACGAAATCTACCACTACCACCATCATCATCAACAACAACAACAACAACAACAACTACCTCAACATCGACAGCATCAAGTACGGCAGCGACAACTACGAAAACGTTAACCACCTCCACCACCACCACCACCACCACGAAGAACAGTCTGTCGTACCTGCAATATCGATCTTGTTTTCCTCCGAAGCGAGCACTACGCCTCCCGCTTCCGCCCCATCGTCCCTCGAAAAATGCCCCCCGAGGATGGTCACGTCGCCCCTGGTCCAGATCACGCCGCCACCCTATTATTCCGGTAAAGGTTTCCGACAAATAAATGCAGGCAGGATTCAAGAAAAGCGGTAGTTAGATCGGGGTGAGAACGGCGCAGGAATGAGTTGCGGGATATCTAGGCTCTGTTGAGGGGGCTCCTCGGCTATTACAGTATGATGTTCAGTAGGCGTGCAGCCTTCACACTGAGCAAAAACACAAATTTCGCCACAGATATTGGTACTGTCACCAGCACAGAGAAACCGGAAAATTGGTGAAAGACGACTTGAGGTATTAAGCATGTTGTCGAACCTGCCGTATTCTAGACGAACAAAACACCAGTACCAGTGACAAGAGACACCCAGCCCTGCTCCTGTAGTAACATGACAACAGACAAAACAGAAATATTTACATACAGCTAAAAAAAGATATGGAGGCAAGCACGCACACAACAACAACACACCCGTCGTGAGCGTTGTTGCCCTGCTGTAGGGTACCATACTCCGTAGGTTTTCATTTTTGCGACTTTGTACCCGTACCTTCCACTCTATTTTAATTATCAAAACCAAATTCGACAAAAAGAATACAAGGCAATCACCTATGGAGTACAAATTTCGAACGTATTTTGCCCCAATCGCTGCATCTCTCACATCCGCAGCCTCGTTGCCAAAGAAGGTTCCTCCCTCGATGACGATGGCTGTATCGGTGGTGGCTCCGAACACCGCACCGTTCTGGCCGCACTCGTTTCCCGCGAAAACGTTGCCGTCCCACTAAGAGTGTGGCGAACTCGCCGAGGTTCACAACGCCGGCGTTGTCGACGTGGGCCCTGGGTGATGATGTTATTGTTGGTGTGGTGTTGATGTTGATCATGATGTTGATGTTGTTGGTGTTGGTGTCGTCGTTATTGGTGCTTGCGCTCCGCAAGGTAGCAGAGTACAGCAATACAGTCCCACACGAGGAGCCAGTGTTCTTTTATAGCACGCACACATGCGTGCCCTCAACCGATAAGTATGCCTGCTACAGCAGTGTTCTCCTTCGATTATAGTGCGTTAGGCCGGTCCGAGACCTGAACCGCGTCATTTGTCTGGAATGTATCAGGGATATGTACGTGTCTATGTACTGCTTGTAATAACTACATTTAGATCATGTATGTATCCCTTTCGTGTTCGCTGCAGGCAACATGAACAAAAATAGAGTAAGATTCTGTGTGCACGCTAGGTCTGTAGCATGCTGTAGAATGGTACCGGTATCCGCAGCCAGCAGTAGCTAGCAGACGTGCAGTTATAGTAGAGTAGAGACGTATTGTAGAGACCATGCTGTGTGCATCGTTCAAAAGTACGGGACTGTCAGAGAATGGTCAGAATAGTTGGAGGCACGGTTGACCCTTCGGGGTCCCTAGTAGTCTAGATAATGTTTCTTGGTTTTAGTGATCGAGAGCTGGCCCGCGCGCCTATCTCTCTCACTCTCATTTTCTAACACAAAGAACTGGCCTTGGAGTCAGTCAGTAACAACGACATCTTGTATCTCATCGTTCCGAGGGTCACCGAGTTGCGTTCGAAACAACTCTCAGCAGTGTTCCCACCTGGCGCATACAGAAGGTTGTCTTTCTTGCTTCTCAGCGAGCACCTACGAAATAAGCTTTCCAAAGCGGTCCAGCCCGACGCGCCACCGCTGCAAGCTTATCACCAAGACGTCATGAGCCTCGCATTTACGCGTGGACACTGCTAGCGACGTACACGGCGTGTTCAAGACACGCCTACCTTGCGACATCTGATGTACACCCTGATCTGCACGACGATCACGGAATTTCGGAACATTAAGGAACAAGAACATTTCTTCCGAGATTCAAGACTAAAAGAAGGTCGACACACGTTCAACACGCAGGGCTGCGAATCGTCAGGCACGTCCAGAGGACTCACGCCGAGGTTCAAGCTGCTGCTGCTGCACACGGAGCTGCCACGATCATCTGCATGTGGAGCTGCTGCAAGGATCTGAACGGTCTGGACGAGAACCATTTTTTCGTGAATCGACCCTCGAAGCGAAACTTCGAGCACAAAGAGAACCACTCTGAGCCGAATGCTGCTGCTGCCGACGCTACTACTGCTGCCGCCATGTGAGCCATTACCACGACAGCTGCCGGGGCGCGAGACCGGTTGCGGTTCCAATACCAATCCGGTGTCAGGTTTTGGAGGATTTTCACTGCTGCTGTAGACTGCTGCAGGAGACGACATGATGGAACGATTGAGTCGGGTGGCGTCATCAACGACGCACGGATGCACTCCCCTCCCCGGCCTGCTCCCCGGCCGGGGCCGAAATCGACCTTGTGAGTCCCTCGCGGGCGAACTAGGCCACAACAGATAGTAGGTGGGTGGTGTCCCAAGGTGCAACTCACCGCCGCGCTGGCTCAGCGTGGCGGTGAGGATGCACAGACGGTGGTAGTGGCGAGAGGTGTATGTGGACCTTGTCCCCGCGGCAGCAATGCAAAGCGGCAAACTGCACCTGGTAACCACCGTCGCGGAAAACGTGGCCCACGAAGCTGGAGGAGCAGAGAGATTCGTAAAAACCACGCGAGTAAGCACCGTTCGCGGGAGAAGGGAGATAACCGCGGGCGACGCGGGGGGGGAGTGCTGCACCCTCCTCGTCCAAACACCACAGGCAAGCACCGAGCCCTGCAAAGATGGATCGATGCGAAGAAACTCGCCGCTCGGATTAAACGGAAGAAAAC